GGTATTGTGCCTAGATCCGATGAACCTTTTTTGAATACAAAATATTAAGTACCACGTGCCGTCGTCAAGCGTCTGCAGCATCCAAAAAACGTTCCTTTGTAAGTGTAATGCGTCGCCGCATCCGTTAAAAACTCTATGTAAGGGAATAACCCACTTTACCGTGCATGATTTTTGGAGTATGTTGATTTCCTGGACGTCTGCTGATACCTGCTGATATATCCCTAGTCGGTTGGAAAGTAAAGGCGAATAGCGAGTAGATAACGTTTAGGTGAAAGTTATTGGTTTTTTTGTAGGACGCCTTTAACGTTGCCTGTTTAGCTTGGGAATTCCTGTATTTCCACTGTCTGAAAGCCCCTTCAGACTATTTCGTAGTAGCCTAACTCCTACCCACTTCAGGGTTTGCTGTCGTGAGGAGGGCCTGGTTCCTAAAGTCAGATACGACTTTCGATTGTTAAACGTTTTCACATACTCTGTGGATTTAGTGTAGTGACAGCTTTCGGTTCTGGTCCTTTACTGCAAATGATTTTTTTAGGTCCAACCAGTGATCGCGGCCAATGGTCCTTTGGTCAAGTTGTGGCACGGAGGCAGTTGTTGCATTGACCAACTTAGTTGGGAAATAGGGTTCCCGTAGTGTCGGGATCAAAGCGTGTACACCGTCCTGCATACCAGTGCAAGGTTCTGCGATAATGTTTGGTGGTGAGTGAAGCGTTATTGGATAGCTGACATACCTTAGTCATTTCATAATACAACTAATTTCCAGACAAGATTGTGTGCGTATGCAACGCCACGCTTCAGCAAACCATGGTCCCTGCGGCCCGGTGTACGCTGACAGTTTCCTTGAATCTGATTCCCTGTTGCTGAATGTGCTTACGTTCCCACTGGGTTTGCATGCGGTGTACATGGTTGCCCAGTTAATTGTATCTTCCCTCTCTGATCCAGCGGAGTATATACCAGCTGGTGGCGCCTAGCTAATTTGCAAGCGGCGCGATGGCGGCTGTGTCTGTCACGTTCTCGTATATGTAGTAATGGCCACCCGGTCAGTCTTGCGAAATTGACTATTCTGCGCGTGATGGCACGCTTAGGGACGGCATCAGCCGAACCAGCCACCTGCGCCCTCCCCAATCCTCGGTCTTATCGACTTTTGTCTTGACATCGGGTACAGATATGGGAGTGGTGAGAGAGTGGGGTGGATTCTACGCGTCTACTTTCACTATACTTCTGTTACAGTCACCGCATCTGCCCTCAGCTTACTGAAGCTCGTGGAACGGCGGCTGAACTTTTATCAGTTTCTCGTTTCTCGATCATTTATTTTACTCTAGACGACTAACCATTTCAGAGCTAACTTGAGGTGAAGGGTGCCCTACTCTCCGCAAGACGCGGACGTTCTGAGTAACCTGCAGCAAGGCGAGTGGGCAAGATTCGGCTTCTGATGCTCTCTTGAATGATGCTCTCTCTTGAATGTTTTACTGTCTGAATAGAATGATGTGGTGTCTAAAATATATAGGAAAGTGTTGACAGAGTAAAGTTTCGGTCGTTGCAAGCAACGATATTCACCACGTGTCCCCCGAAGCGGGCGCAGCCCCAGTGAGTTGAGGGTTAATTTGCTTAACGTGATGTACACTTTCGCAGTATCTGCCCTACCCTTCCCTCCCTTACCCACACGGCACCGGTGTCAAGGTAGCCGGAGGTGCGTTCAAACACAATAGCTGACAGGGCTAAGCGACTTGTGTACGTATGTCATACACGCCCTGCTCTACACCTCCTTTACAGTGATACACTGTCCGCTTAAACAGAGACGCGTGGTAGATGTGCTAGACTAAGAGGGGAGCTAGGTAGGGGCAAGGCACGCGTTATCCAGGTTGCGCTCCGATAACAATTATCGAACCTAAGGGGGCGTATGGGTAGTTTCAACCGCACCCGATCCCTTCTCCGGTCTTCGTGATTCTGTCTTGACACCGGGCACAGGTGGGTGAGGGAAGAGGGAGAGTGCAGTAGATGCGGCGCAAGTGTGAGGTCACTTAAAACCAAATTACACACGCAAATCATCACGTATGCCTTAAGCTTGCTGAAGCACGCGGTGGGCATCGTCGAAACCGACGGTCGAACATTCGTGTCTGTGTGTGTGTGTA